AATACTTGCAACATTTTATCCCGGCAACCCTGCATGGGCATACATTTTGCCTAGCACACTTTCTGCATTTACATGATAGGAAGACTGTCCAGTTTGCTGATCACAATCTCAGGAACTAGTTCCCTGTCAATTCTTTCGAAACCGTAAGATTCAGCATTCATAAGCAGAGAAGCATCTCTAAATGGGGCTTGAATCCACAGTTGCATTTGGTAGTAATTCCTTTGAATATGTTTCCATGCATCCGTTGAAGTGCAAACAGTTTTCTTGAAATCCAATTTAAGAGAATTACTGTCAAATGCAGCAAGACGTAGTTCATCAAATGTTTCCAATTCAGTTGATGGTTTCAGGCACTTAAACAAGAATAATTCTGCAAGCTCTATCGCGTTGTCTGTTATTGGTGGTGGACAATCGAAGTTTATTATCAAGGAAGCATCGTCAGGTTTGCGAACGGTATTCAGTGCTGAAAGTTTCGTTGAAATTTTGCTGGTTGTATCACACCCAGTTAGTGCATGAAGTGCTGGAAGACATTTAAGTAAATCTCTACCAAGGGTGGTACATATTTCATGGAGGGGTAAAATTGATCGTTTCACACCTGAGTTACGGATAAGCCAAAGTTCTATGCGATCTTCATGAAGCCAATTTTTTGAAAGATGATATAACAAGCATACAAAGACATCAGTATCGCCTGACAATAAGGTAATGTGGTTGGGTCAGTTCAGTGGCATAGAATATCCTGTATGCGAAACATCATCCGATCGTCTGCTTCTTCGTGTGTGCAATCCAGACGAGGAAACGTCAAAGCACGTCCACTTGAAACACGCCACGCCTTTGGAGATATGCCAAGATAAAGTGCTTTATTCCCTTGGTAATTGGTAGTAAGCCACTCAACGTAGAAAGCCTGGAAAGCCATTTTGCTGACGGAAGAAGCCCAGACGTTTTCTAATACAACTGGAACTTTCTGATTCGGGGATATAACATCAAGCACGACCATTTGTTTACATTTCCCTCTTCTCTTCCTTTCCACATTCTGGATGCTGTCTTCTTTATAAGTATCGAAAACAATGTGGATCTCTTCACAGTTGCTTGTGGTGTTGGTGATCATAGCAGTCAAGGCAACAGCAAGATCATGAAATGTCTTCACAGGTGGTTCAAGTTTCTTCAAGGGGACTTTTCTAACCAAAGCCATACAATCAATGATATACGTGTTGGTCGATGGAGTTGTTTCTTGCTCTTTGGGATTGATTTGTGGACACAACTTCAATAACTCAGACCCAAGTTGAGATTTCGTGCTCTTCCTTAAAAAACCATCTTTGTCAACCAAAAAGAAAGCTGAACTGGTAATCTCATGCAGGAGTAGCTCTTCAACGGTGAAACCACAGTGACGTGCATATTCTACATACATCAGAACTTTTATCGTTTCTTCCTTGATGTCCAGTTTGGAAGTCAAACGCGAGGTTTTCTTTGAGTACTTAAACTTGATTCTGTTAATGGTTGAATGGATATAAGTTGTCTTGCCTCTTAATCGATCTTTGATAAACTTAGAATAGGCATCTGTTCCTTCTTTAATGCAACATAATAGCATATCCACGTTTCGTTTCCGTCACGATTTCCCCTGTTACAATGTTCTTAAGTGTGTCCTGGTCTAGTATTGAACCACATAAGAAGATATGTATCTATTTCCTGAACCATTGCAGAAATCTTTGTTGCGGTACTTTCATTAAAGTCGTGATGAAGTGACAATTCTCCTTCAACATCTTCTTGCATCTTTAGAAGATGAACATACTGGTCTTTCTTGTGTTTGATGATGTCCCACAAAGCCACTGCGTCTTTCTTTCTTGTCACCCCAATTATGCCGCCACTAACTTTTGCCGGTCGGTTGTAACACTGTTCCAGAGCTTGGTCAAATGGAACTCCACTCCCTTTCCTGTTACCGTTCATAACGAATCCACTGTCCATGTATGATTTGTAAAGGAGAGGAAACTTATCTTTCAGTTGATAGCAGTCTTGTAGGAACATTGGTGTCCATCTACAGTAGTTTGTTCTGCCAAAGAAGAACATTGGGTAGAGGTCGGAGACATATGTGTTCCAAAAAGCAAAAGACTTGGATTTCGAATGCATTTCTTTTATATATAGCTCAAAGTCTTCTTCCGTGGTTTCAACTCGTTCTTTCATGGCATTCCACACTTCATTACCAATGTTAATAGATTGACAATCAATAACGAATCCCTCGACTTCCATTTCTTTCTCGGGGTTTTCCTCTATAAACGCTTTGAACATCATGGACATGAGCACTTCATGTATCATTGAATGGGCAGTGCGAGTTCTAGAATAATGGGAACCGGAGATTACGCTGTTAATGGTATCCGGTCCATAACACTCGGTCTCGACTAAAACAGAAAAAATCCCGGATGGCTCCAAATACGCACCAAGACACGCAAGAACAATCTTTTCCATATGAAATCCCCCAAGGCCAAGAAATATGTTACTAAACTGTTCTGGTTTTAGAAGCTGTATTTCATTCGCAATACGATAAACACCCTCGTCAGCCCATAACCCACCGTAAGAATCACCTTTCTGTTTCAAGGCATCTTGAAAGTTGATCATTGTGGTTAGTATTGCATCGTATGTGGTAGCTGGATATGGGAGGATTGGAGTTAAAATTTTGTGGTAGCATGGAAATTCAAGTTCACGGTGGAACTTCCCAAGGCTGTAAATCCCGGGACAACATAGCCCATCTCCATTGCCTTTCCAATTATAGCAGTTCACCAACCAAAGAAAGTAGTCCAAACGTATCGATTTCATTGATTGTTTGCAAAGGCTAAATGATGAAACCAGATCTGTTGTCTTTGAAGATGAATCAGTTGACGTTCCGACCACATTGGGATTAGGCATATCGCCTGTTGCTTCAACAGAAGGCTCTAAAATTACTGCAGAAGTGTTTAGATAATCACACGTTACTGAGATGGATTCTGTTGTTGAGGAGGCACCAGTTGCGGGTGTTTCGGAGGTTGAGGTATTGTTTCTTTCTGTAAATGTTGAATACGGATTGAAGACAGACTCCGATACTTCGAAATCCTCGCCTATCTTTCCACGTTCTTTCATTGCTCCCATTCTGATAAGCTGTTGACAACGGACTTTAGATCTAAGCTTTACTGTAGTCCTACTCTGAGCGAAAAATGGTCTTGTCGATATATTACTTTCGTCTGATGGATTTTCGCTGTTGGTTGTTGGGACATTCTGGAAAAGAACAAGAATGGTATCGTGTGTGGAACCTGTGCCAGCAAGTCTACTTTCATTGCGATCAAAGTTACCCATGGCTGCGTTGAGTGGGCTTGATGATTCTAGGACAGGAGGAAGTTGTATTCTATTGTCACCTGCCGTGGATATTATCTGTTCCGCGATGTCCACATCAATTCTCTTAACTGTGTTGTAGCTAACACAAATACCATGGCGATTGAGGGCAGTTATGAGCTCTTTAGATCTTGTCAGACTGTGAACTTCTTCTGCGACCATGACATGAAAAGGGGTCGGTTCTTTTCCACCACTCATCATATAGTGCAGGATTTGGAAAAAAACATCTCGTTTTACCTGACAGATCAGCTTCGACTTGAATAAAAAGGAACAGAATTCTTCCCATTTTTCTGGTGGGTTCTTCAGAATTATGTCTGTTGATAGTTGAAGGTCTCAGGGTTCACAAAAGCTCCGTTCCAGTCCAAATTTGTAATCCTTTAGCTCTTGTGCAAGTTCGGTTGCAACCTGTTGGACAGGTGAAACTTGCCGCATAGACTCCAACAAGGACTCAGGATTACTCTTCACAGAAAATCCCATTTGAGAGATTCTCTTATTGCTAGGATAAGTAAAACAGACAGCATCTCCATACAATTCAATAATTAAATGTTTTACAGCTCTGTTCGAAACTGGTACTGATAAATGTTCATTTAGTCGCTCTCTGATAGAAGTTAGGCTGCATGCAGTGGTGGTAAAATCAAGTCCCAGCGCTAAAAACTGTTCCTTGAATGACTCGTCTCCTGCGGTTATGGAATCTTCTTCTTCAAGGCTTTTTAATATTTCTTCTATATCAGCGTTATATTTGTTGAAATAATCTTTATAACAGTAGCTGTGATAGTAGAGATCAGCCGCAAAAACATCTTCGGGTTCATACATTGCCGCTGTGGCTGTATAAACACAATCTTTAAAAAATATGGCAGTGTTTAGTAATTTTTGAGCCATCAGCTTTTCACAAACTCTCAATAATTTATGTATTTTCTTTTGCTTCACGGTTTTACAATCTGAACCACAAATGACACATATATTAATAAAAGAACTCGACTTAAACCTCTTGCTGCGTCGCTTGTGCTCGGAAGTGCTGCTGTCCATAGATGTCAGATCATGTGTCGCCGAAAGATTTACAGGGTCGGGTTTTTTTCTTTTCTTTTCCATATCTCTCTGAAAACGCCTGTAGCATGACGATGAATGGTAGTTGATGAGCTCCTGTTCAAATTTATTTGCATTTAGTATAGCTTCACTAGTACGACCAAGTATGTCCTCATATCGCGTTTTTTGTGTTGAAAGAATCCTTCCATACTGAAATTGACAAATATAAATGGTATTTATTTATATTGTTGATGAACATTTATGGTGTCTTAGGCATAAAAACTGTGATTCGTAGGCAAAGTAAAATTAGCCTTGAGCACATATTTGGTTGTTTGTTACATACATAATAGACCAAGTATTCATACTTATGTCTTACTAGTTTGTCTCTTATTATAATTTCAAGTGGCGCAATGTAAATTATGTCTATAAAAATTGTTTTTATTTGCAGTGACGAAGATATTGATCCTGTTCCTAGTTGCTGTTCCTGTTTCATAGCCTCAGGGAAGTAGCAGTTCTGATGAGTCATGAGAACCCCATTCCCCATAAGTGTAGAGGGAAGGTAGGGGGATGAGTAGAGGTAGAGGGAAGGCCAGCCACTAGGACCCCAAGGTTTTGAAAGCTCCCTGTCTAGCACCCCACTAGGCCCCATAGTACATGACGGATATGGTGATCCTGACACTAGGAATATCCTCCCAGATTTTGCCCCTCACTGACATGTCCGGGATCCATTTCGATCAAGCTTTCACCAGAAATATGAACTGTGAGCTTGAGTTCATTCGGCTCTTTTTTACTAAGGGAATGCTTCAGGAGGTACTTTCCCGGCCATACCAATACATATGCCCACATACAAATAACGCAAAAATCATCCCCATATACTAATAAAGAAGGGTCTTGAAGTCCACCAACCTTGAGGAGATTGAGAGGTTGATTGCCTTTCTAGTATATGGTGTGCCCACATCGCGCCTTAATCTTGAAGTTCCTTACCACACTCCCCCCGATTGATTCGCTATGAGTCAAGCATTAACCTAGATTTGCATTTCGAATCTAGCGCTGCCTTCCTTGGAGGAGTACTTCTTTTTGATTTGTTGGTTTCTGCGCAATTACTTTTTTCTGGCGCAGTACGTAAACCCACCCCCCTTCCCTCTGACTTTTAATCTCTAAGGGGTACAATTTTTGAACTGGTCTGGATAGGTACACAGGTCGTCCACTAGAAACCACTTTTACTTTTGCTCCTCTCACTATGCAATCTCTTCCTTTAACTAACTCAACTACAACTGCCATCTTCCATTCGCCTCTCTTTCTATCGTCGTCCTGAACTATTACAACATCACCTACCTGTGGAGCAATGGCTGACCCATCACCTTTGTTCCTATGAGCTTCTCTAAGTCCTATCAAGTACTCTTTCCTCCACCTGTTCCAAAAGTTGTTCTAATCTATTACTGAGATACCTAAATCTTGCTGTTCACTCGCGTTCGCCTATAGCTTCCTCTGGCCCGTCTACCACATCAGGTAATGAATTTATTCTGCTATCGAAAATCAAATGAGATGGAGTTAACACCTCTTCTCCCACTTCATCATACTCGTACGTCAACGGTCTAGAATTAAGTGTACACTCTACTTCTACTAACACTGTTTCTAACCCATCTCTTTTCAATCTAGCTCTACCATAATGTCTTTCTTAAACACTGCTTCACACAGCCTACCATTCTCTCAAAGAAACCACCCCACCAGGGTGCTCTTTCTAAATTGAACTTCCATTCTATTCTCATATTATTAAACTATGACTTTATTTCTGGATGATCAAATAACTTATTCAAATCCTTTTCGGTTGCTTGAAAGGTTTTCGCATTATCTGAAACTATTAGCTTAGGCATTCCCCGCCACGCTGTAAATTTCCGCAAGCAACGCTTAAACGCTTCTGCCGACATTTCATCTACTAATTCTAGGTGGACTGCCCTGGTGACGCAGCAAGAAAACAATGCAATATATACTTTTTTAATCTCACCAGAAGCATCCTTTGCATATAGCGGTCCTGCAAAATCTATTCCTACTCTGGAAAATGGTAGCGCTTTAGTCACCCGAAACTCTGCTAGTGCTGCTGTTGCTGGCTCTTTATATGACTTGCCTATCTTTTGCAAGTAACACATTGATTCAAAATCTTTTTGACAATCTGTCTGCCCTTCGGCACCCAAAATCTTGACCTTAATTCCGCTAACGTCGATCTAACACTGCAATTGTGTACTTTCTGGTGGCATGCTTCTATTACCAAACGAGTAAACTTATGCTCTTTTGGCAACAAAATCGGTTGCTGGGCATCTAATTCCAAATCGGAATTGCCGAGTGTACCGGTACATCTTAAAACTCTGTCTTCTTCAACTAATCCTAGTTTTCGAACGAACTACTTATAATTATCTTGTTCCTTTAATTCACACTGGGAAACTTTTACCCATTCTATTTCGGCTCTATTAATTTCGTCCGCTGTCAAATTGGTCGTTACACATTCATTTTTATTCAAAAGTTTTCTGAAATTGTTAACTGCTCGTCTTACCCATGCTGTAACCTTCAAAAGTCTCATTAGACTGCTGTAACATTCTATATCAATTACAGCCTTTAAACTGCTTACTTGGTCTTTCTTAACAGACAAAATTGTTGCGGACTTTTTCTCTTCAAGAAAACTCTCTGGTGTTTTACTAATTGCAAAATATGATGGCCAATAACTTGGTTGCTCTGATATCCATGTCGGTCCGTTCCACCATAACTGATTACCCTTTAACTGTGAGGCTAGAACGCCCCTACTTCCTATATCCGCAGGATTTTCATGCGTTGAAACATATGACCACTCATCCTTATTTGTCATCTGTAAAATCTCATTAACCCTATGTTTTACAAATTGCTTCCATTCTCCTTGGTTCCTTATCCAACACAGCGCTGTTTTGCTATCTAGCCAGTATCGAACGCCATCTAATTTTAGCTGTGAACTTAGTGCACTGCGAATAGTGTTTACAAGCTGTGCAAGTATCCTAGCTGACATTAATTCCAAGCGCGGAATCGACAATTCTTTCAAAGGTGCTACCCTAGTCTTACTTGCTATCAATTTTGCGCGCGTCTCTCCGCCTTCCATACGATAAACCAAATACACTACAGTGCAGTACGCATTCTTGGACATGTCGCCAAAGCCATGTAAATAACATTCTAAAATATTTCCTACATTTGCATCATATAAACATCTGTCAACATATATCTCTCGTGTTGCAACTAAATCTTTAATCCACTTATCTAATCGCTTTTTCATGTCATTGCCAAATGTGTCGTCCCATCCTAACTTACTCTTACAGACATCTTGAAATAGTATTTTCATGCTTACAATAATTCCACTGATTAAACCTAACTGATCAAACAAGCTACTCAATTAACTCAACAAGCATTTTGTTCAAAATTGAAACGTATTGTGTCATTCTGTAAATTCCATGCCAATCCTAAAACCTTTTCACCCTTTGTTCCACTTTGAGGAACCAATTTTGATTTTGCATACGTTTCGTCTTCTTCCAACCCCCTAATTACTTGTTGTGGCACATCCTTCTCAGACTCACAAATGTTCTGTCTTAATGTCGGATCATTTGTTTTCCACTTATGCAATCGGAAACCTCCACTTTCCATTTGAGATCTAGCCTTATTATATAAATCCAATACGTCTTCGCTTGTGTTTCCGCCTGATACTAAATCATCCACGTAAAATCCTTCTAGCATTTTCCTTCCGAAACATGGATCGGTCGAAACAAACTTATTTAAATGATGTCTAATTGTGGCATTCAATAAAAACGGTGACGCATTTAACCCAAATACTACACAACAAAAACGATAAACAATAGTTTCGGCACTTTCCTTCTTATAATCATCTACCCACAAAAATCTTAAACAATCTCGATCACCTGGATCGACTTCAATATTAAGAAACGCTTTCTCAATATCTCCTACGAGCGCAACCTTATTTTCTCAAAACCTAACAAGTATATCAAACAACAGTGGATTCAATGATAGTCCTGTGTGCAAACAATTATTCAAGGACGTTCCGTTCTTAGACTCCTTTGCTGACGCATCATACAATTCTTATCTTAGTGGTCTCGGCATCTTTCCTAATTACTGCTTGATGCGGCAAATAGTGCAACTTATCGCTTGGCTTTTCCAGCGCTGCAATCGGTTCTATTACTCCAGTCTTTAACTGATCTTTAATTATCGCGTGATAATCTGCCAACACTTCCGGATCTTTGCGCAATTTCCTTAATTGGTTTTGCATGCGAGCTAAACTGTTTACGTAATTACTGGGCAAGGGTTCATGACCCTGCTTCCATGGCAACTTTACCGAATACTTGCCATCTTTAAAACTTACTTCATTTTCAAACATTTCATGCACATCTTCATTTACTCTAATACCAATCGAATCTAAATCCCATGGTCTTCATACTTCACTCTCTAAACTAACACTATCTGTGTCTACTCTTTGCTGGGAAACGAAATGAACTGAATAATCCTGTCTGCCTCTCCCTTCACATGGTTTAAGAGGACCACTCAAAACGTATCCCAACTCAGTTTCAATTGCAACCGGCTCCTCAGGCTCCCCCCGTATGGTTCGGCCCCTCTGAAACTTCCAAATGTAATCTGAACTGATCAACAAATCAATTTCAAGCTCCTTTTTGGTCCGGCATACGTCTGAAAACCAAAGGTTACGCAAATGCGAAAAGTCTTTCTTAACGACTTCAACGTGCTCATTGCTTATTCGTGAAATCTCTGGCACGACATAAGCCTCGAGTGTCAGATTCCCACCACTGCTTACAGGAATCAGGTCGATAAGAACTACATCACGCAATCCTGATTCAGTGGTTTTCCGACCGAACGTACTTATGCTAAGCCACTCCTTCCTAAGCAATTTTAAATTATGCGCGCGTGCTACGTCCGCAGTTACGAACGATTTATGACTCCCAGAGCCAAACATTACTCTTACTCTATTACTACTATTACTACCCTTAATTAGCACTTGGGCTGTTTGGAGCGTGATCCTACTGCTGCCCCCAACTAACATGCTGGCAGGTACATTAACTATATGGGTGCTTGCCTCATTCCCTACTTGCGCACCCTCCTCCGATGCACTGCTTACTTCAGTTTCGCATAAAGCACTATGGTGACCCCCTTACAGTTTTTACATTGAACAACTACTTTACAGTCACATGCACAATGCCCTTTCTCTAAACATTTATAGCATCGAGCAAACTTACGTATCAAGTTCCTTCGTTCTCTCATATCTTTCACTCTGGCACAATCTTCATGGTGATGCTTCCCCATACAGAACGCACATCGATCTTTATCCCAACCAAGACCCCGATTCACTTGTAGTGCACTCGCGTTGTACATTCTCCTTCCATTTCCAGCAGGAGGTTTCACTTGTGGCGTCAGTCTATAGTCTTCCCGTAATTCCACCTCGGTTAACAGTGTTTGCAACAATTCTTTTATTGTCCATTTAAGGTATTCTTCCCCTCTAGTGATAGTAAGTCTCACAGAATCTGGAATCTTCTCTAATAACATTGGTACCACAATACCAGAGTATGTACTTTCGTTGACCTTTAACGCGCACAATCCACGATAATGGGTCTCCACCGTGTCATGCAATATTCTGCGTCCACGCACATCCTTTTCGCCATACACTGGTGGCACTTTCAACAATTGGCTCACATGAGCCCGTTCTATAGCAACTTTCTTGCCAAATCTCCGTTCCAACAGCTCTACAGCCGCGGCGTAATTCTCCGCCGTCAGGGAAAATCCTGCAATCGTAGCTTTCGCCGGTCCCTCAATCAACCCACGTAGGTATGAAAATTTATCTACGTCAGATAACCGCGTATTGTTATGAATAGCGCTTTTGAAACTATCCCAAAACTCTTGCCATTCATGGATCTTTCTGTCGAATTTTCTCACTTCCAGCTTAGCTTCGTGTGGCTCGACGATCCGCCGTTCTCTAGATCCACCATCGCATTTGAACTACTGCCGCTTGGCTCCGTAGCCAAGGTTTGTTCTCCTGTCGTCGTGAGGGCCCTGTTGATCAATATGATCGCTTCTTGCATCTCTGCCCGTACCTTCGCAGAGCTTTCTATCTCTTCCAGAAACGCTTCGTCTGTAGATTCACTCACGCAAATCATCTCTTGTATCACCGTATCTAGAATTCTCAATGTTTCTAATTTTTCTTCGAGACCAACTTTCGCCTGCTCTACTGCACTTTTCCGTTGTCCATCATAGGTATCCACTAACTCACGAGCACCGCTTATTAACTTCGCCGCGTGGCCTCGATGCCCACCTCTCATCTCCTTTTTTTCGTAGTTAATTCCGACATAGTTCTCAATTTGACAAATCGCTTAATTCACTGTTTTCTCAATCAATCTATCCGGCTCGACTGGACCAGTTGTTGTAATTTCTTCGCACAAGTTTGGTTAAACTATAAGAAATTTCAGCTCGCTGGTTCAGTCAACAAACCACTGGGACTGTATTTCCTTTTTTCCAATTTTCCTTTATTCAAACAATCTTTTACAATCAATCAAACTAACCATTCTACATACATTTCACACTAATATACTCAGCACTCACACTTTCCAACCAACCTAACAACCAATCATCATATAATATTTTTACACTAATATTTATACTCTAAATCTTGGAAACCATTTTTCTGTTCATACGTCATGTTTAACCACATAAAGTTCCTCCCCTTAGTCACGTCTAAGGTGTGTTATATTTTCATCCCATTTTAACGCTGAAATGTGCTGTATCTACATCATGCTTACGCGCCTTAATCTTGAAGTTCCTTAACACATACTTTTTGCACTGACTTTGTTCATGGCCTTTCTCCTTGCAAACGTAGCATTGTTTCTCTGGGCAATCACCTTTACTGTGACCCGGGTCACCACACATTCTACAGATCTTGCCTGCTTGGCAGTCTTTCACGAGGTGGCCAGTTTTAGAGCAATTTTTGGCATGTTTTAAGTTGTCCGGGATAGGCTGTATAAACGTGGTACCATCTGGCGTAAATAAAAGATTGTATGTTCTCCTTGAGATTAGCTTTCCATAAAGACTTCTTCTTCTGTTCTAACAGATCGGCCTTCGTGTCAAGAGGATATCTGAATACTTTGACGTATGTGTACCTTGGCTCTCTGGTCGAATAAAATCTGTAGATTTTAGCGTGAAGACCCTCGAGTATAGCTCAATGTCTTTGTTGATATATTTCTGTCGTTGTACCCATTCTTTGAACACAATAAACCATAGTTTTTTGCTAAGGCATTCAATTCCCTCGATCAACAGTCTGTCGATTCCTGCGTCCATAAGACTGTTAAAGATCACTACCTGTAAGGAAGCTGGGCCATTTGCGGTGGCTTCAGCCGGTAAATCCTCCAGTAGCAGTTGTAGGGAGCGTGCTTGTGACATCACGCTACGTAGCTCATCCACGAGCTGGACTAGTCAAGTGGCGAGAGGCTTGGCTATTCGACCCTCGGGAGGGTTCCTCGGGGAGACTTCAGCAGAGCCTTGATCACCCTTTGGTCCTTGCCTAAGGCGACCGCCCCACTCACACACTTACCCAAAGTTGTCTTCGGACTCCTGTCCCTTTTGGCTTCACTTGCTTATTTTGAGTTGAACGATGAAGGGCTTATCGATGGTGCAATGGAGCCTGGACCTGTGATATCGCCGCACTCAGGGGGTTGCTACACAGCAAGCAGACCAACAGAGAGTACGATCCTCTCCCCCGTGCCATGAGACAACCATTAATGGCCTGAACGATCGGATAGTAAGCACCTTCACATCCAGGGATCCCTAAACCTATGATGGTGAATGGTTTGGGAAACAATGTTAACTAAACATGATGTCAACATGAGCAACCCACTGGTTAACTAAGATCGAAGAAAAATTGAAAGAATTCCCATGCAACGCACAAGGACAAAGTCGATGCGAACAATGGGACAAAAATTGAGAGGAAGACAGAAATGACCAAAGAGGAAACAACTGCTGCCCTAAAGAAATGACATAAACAAACAAATTATGAACAAAGAATGACCAACAAGACATTCAGTCCCACTAAATACAGCAGTGCAACCAATGAAGGCGACCGCCATACCAGGGGAAGACAAAAGTACAATTGCAACTGAAATGACATAAACAAAACAAATGAGAGAGCTTTGAATACAACAGCAGTACAGCCAATTAAGGCGACCCCCGTGCCTCCAAAGAATCACAAGGAAAGAAGACACTCAAGTGATGAAATCACAAGAGAACCGAATCCAGCCCTGTTCGGTGACAGATCCAATAATACCATTCATGAGCCAGTCATGATCAAACTGTTCAGGTGAACAACAATGATGCCGATGCATACGCACCAGGAATCCGAAGGTGGACCGAGCTTTCCGCATGGTTTCCGGGACATCCGGAGGAACATTGTCGAAACGATGGCGATTACGAGCCAACCATATATGATCTCGCAGAATAACCCAACAAAGCAGTGAAGACCACAGGAACACGAGAGGTGGCGGTGAAACCAAACAGAATATCTGCATCAGTAAGAACAGCAGTTGGCTTGGACCAATGTAACAGCACTAAGAACCAATGAATGATCTCCATACCAAATGGACAGGTGGTAAAAAGGTGAAGTAGAGTCTCGGGCTGACCACAAAAACACAACGGGTTGACATTCGTCCCAAAACGAACCAGACGATCGGCCG